GGACTCTTTAAAGCTCAGAGGAAACAGGGACTCTTTAAAGCTCAGAGGAAACGGGGACTCTTTAAAGCTCAGAGGAAACAGGGACTCTTTAAAGCTCAGAGGAAACAGGGACTCTTTAAAGTTCAGAGGAAACAGGGACTCTTTAAAGTACAGACAATGTGTTGGAGCGCTAGCCAATAGGAGCACGAGTGTTACATAGTGATGTCACTCTGTTCCGAACTTTGTGATTTTCGCCTCTGCAGACCGTTGACATGCACTGTAGAACTACAGGGGGTCACGCAGCCCCCATGAATAAATACTGATGCTGATTCTTTTGTGAAACTTTTCTAAATGTTTATTACTATTTATTTTTGAATAAATGATAAATAAACATTTAGAATAGTTTTGTAAGAACGCTGAGAAACAACAAGACGTGTCATTTATCATTTTAAATATAACGGAGATCAATTACTTCCAGTTTCTCATAAATATCTCGCTGATCTGGAGATTCAATGTTTAAATGTTCCCTCCGTGTCTGTTTGTTGTTGTTGTTGTTGTTGTTGTTGTTGTGGGTCTCAGTTTGATCGGCTCACAGCTGTTTCATCATCACATTGTTGTACGGAGAGTATGGCTCCTCCTCTTCCTCGTTGTTTGGCTCCTCCTCCTCTTCCACATGTTGCCCCTCCTCCCCCTCCGCCTCCTCTCTTGGCTCCTCCCCCTTCCAATTTTCTTTTTCTTCTTCTTCTTCTTCGTTGGTGCCGACAGGAAGTGCTCTCTGAGGTCGTTTGGGCACGGCGTAGTCGTCCACGCGGGGGTTGTAGGGGAACTCGTGACCTTTGGGGTCAGCGGGGGTTCCCATGACCCTCCAGGCGTCCCCCCGCACCTCCTCAGGCTCATCGTACAGGGAGAGGGGGGTGGGTTTCTGCAAGGGGGGGGCGCGGCCTTCGGGCTCGTCGTAGATGTGATCGATGGCGGCGGCGCTGAGGAAGACGTTCCTGATCTTCATCTCGTCGATGCTGTCGTAGAGAGGGTCATGTTCGGGGGGAGGACCAATCACAGGAGAGGAGAGGGGGGGAGGAGCAAGGGAGTCAAAGGGGAGGGAATACTCCGGGTCCTTGGGGGGGGCGCTTCTCCCTGGAGAGATACACACATCCTTTACTCAAGTAGAAGTACACACATCCTTTACTCAAGTACAAGTACACACATCCTTTACTCAAGTACAAGTACACACGTCCTTTACTCAAGTAGAAGTACAGATACTCGTGTTTAAAAATACTCTGGTGAAAGTAGAAGTACTGACTAAACTTCTTTCCTCAAGTGAAAGTAAAGAGGCTTTGAAATGTACTTCAGTAAAAAGTACCCATAACTAGCAGCTGCTTTAAAGAGTACCTGACCTCCCTTTATATTAATAGAACAATAATGTCATTGTTAGCTAATGAATGTTTCCATGCTGAACAACGGCAACATGACAACGTTTCCATTGGTCCCTCTTCTTTAGAGAAGACCAGGAAATGATGGATACACGGATCGTGTTCAAATCAATAGGCACGCAATGACTCTAAAGAATAATGATCACGCATCAAACACACATTCAGACTAAAGGAACCAGCTGTTTGGAAAATGAGAGAAGTAGAAAGTACAAGTATTTGAGTTCAACATGTAAGAAGTAGAAAGTACAGGTATTGAGTTCAACATGTGAGAAGTAGAAAGTACAGGTATTTGTGTTCAACATGTAAGAAGTAGAAAGTACAGGTATTGGGTTCACATGTAGAGAAGTAGAAAAGTACAGTATTTTGAGTTCAACATGTAAGAAGTAGAAAGTACAGGTATTTGAGTTCAACATGTAAAGAAGTAGAAAGTACAGGTATTGGGTTCAACATGTAAGAAGTAGAAAGTACAGGTATTTGAGTTCAACATGTAAGAAGTAGAAAGTACAGGTATTTGTGTTCAACATGTGAGAAGTAGAAAGTACAGGGATTTGGGTTCAACATGTAAGAAGTAGAAAGTACAGGTATTTGAGTTCAACATGTAAGAAGTAGAACGTACAGGTATTTGTGGTCAACATGTAAGAAGTAGAAAGTACAGGTATTTGGGTTCAACAGGTAAGAAGTAGAAAGTACAGGTATTTGAGTTCAACAATGTAAGAAGTAGAAAGTACAGGTATTTGTGTTCAACATGTAAGAAGTAGAAAGTACAGGTATTTGAGTTCAACATGTAAGAAGTAGAAAGTACAGGTATTGGTTCAACATGTGAGAAGTAGAAAGTACAAGGTATTTTGTGTTCAACATGTAGGAAGTAGAAAGTACAGGTATTTGGGTTCAACATGTAAGAAGTAGAAAGTACAGGTATTTGAGTTCAAACATGTAAGAAGTAGAAAAGTACAGGTATTTGTGTTCAACATGTAAGTAAGTAGAAAGTACAGGTATTTGAGTTTCAACATGTAAGAAGTAGAAAGTACAGGTATTTGTGTTCAACATGTGAGAAGTAGAAAGTCAGGTATTTGGGTTCAACATGTAGAAGTAGAAGTACAGGTATTTGTGTTCAACATGTGAGAAGTAGAAAGAATACAGGTATTTGTGTTCACATGTAAGAAGTAGAAAGTACAGGTATTTGAGTTCAACATGTGAGAAGTAAAAGTACAGGTATTTGGGTTCAACATGTAAGAAGTATAAAGTACAGGTATTTGAGTTCAACATGTAAGAAGTGAAAGGTACAGGTATTTGTGTTCACATGTGAGAAGTAGAAAGTACAGGTATTTGGGTTCAACATGTAAGAAGTAGAAAGTACAGGTATTTGAGTTCACATGTAAGAAGTATAGAAAAGTACAGGTATTTGTGTTCAACATGTAAGAAGATAGAAAGTACAGGTATTTGGTTCAACATTGTAAGAAGTAGAAAGTACAGGTATTTGGAGTTCAACATGTAAGAAGTAGAAAGTACAGGTATTTGTGGTTCAACATGTAAGAAGTAAGAAAGTACAGGTATTTGAAGTTCAACATGTAGAGAAGTAGAAAGTACAGGTATTTGGGTTCAACATGTAAGAAGTAGAAAGTACAGGTATTTGAGTTCAACATGTAAGAAGTAGAAAGTACAGGTATTTGTGTTCAACATGTAAGAAGTAGAAAGTACAGGTATTTGGGTTCAACATGAGAGAAGTAGAAAGTACAGGTATTTGTGTTCAACATGTAAGAAGTAGAAAGTACAGGTATTTGGGTTCAACATGTAAGAAGTAGAAAGTACAGGTATTTGAGTTCAACATGTGAGAAGTAGAAAGTACAGGTATTTGTGTTCAACATGTAAGAAGTAGAAAGTACAGGTATTTGGGTTCAACATGTAAGAAGTAGAAAGTACAGGTATTTGAGTTCAACATGTAAGAAGTAGAAAGTACAGGTATTTGGGTTCAACATGTAAGAAGTAGAAAGTACAGGTATTTGAGTTCAACATGTAAGAAGTAGAAAGTACAGGTATTTGTGTTCAACATGTGAGAAGTAGAAAGTACAGGTATTTGAGTTCAACATGTAAGAAGTAGAAAGTACAGGTATTTGAGTTCAACATGTAAGAAGTAGAAAGTACAGGTATTAGTGTTCAACATGTAAGAAGTAGAAAGTACAGGTATTTGTGTTCAACATGTAAGAAGTAGAAAGTACAGGTATTTGTGTTCAACATGTAAGAAGTAGAAAGTACAGGTATTAGTGTTCAACATGTAAGAAGTAGAAAGTACAGGTATTTGAGTTCAACTTGTAAGAAGTAGAAAGTACAGGTAATTGAGTTCAACATGTAAGAAGTAGAAAGTACAGGTAATTGAGTTCAACATGTAAGAAGTAGAAAGTACAGGTATTTGGGTTCAACATGTAAGAAGTAGAAAGTACAGGTATTTGAGTTCAACATGTGAGAAGTAGAAAGTACAGGTATTTTGAGTTCAACATGTAAGAAGTAGAAAGTACAGGTATTTGAGTTCAACATGTAAGAAGTAGTAAGTACAGGTATTTGAGTTCAACATGTGAGAAGTAGAAAGTACAGGTATTTGGGTTCAACATGTAAGAAGTAGAAAGTACAGGTATTTGAGTTCAACATGTGAGAAGTAGAAAGTACAGGTATTTGAGTTCAACATGTAAGAAGTAGAAAGTACAGGTTATTTGTGTTCAACATGTAAGAAGTAGAAAGTACAGGTATTTGTGTTCAACATGTAAGAAGTAGAAAGTACAGGTATTTGAGTTCAACATGTAAGAAGTAGAAAGTACAGGTATTGTGTTCAACATGTAAGAAGTAGAAAGTACAGGTATTTGTGGTTCAACATGTAAGAAGTAGAAAGTACAGGTATTTGAGTTCAACATGTGAGAAGTAGAAAGTACAGGTATTTGTGTTCAACATGTAAGAAGTAGAAAGTACAGGTATTTGAGTTCAACATGTGAGAAGTAGAAAGTACAGGTATTTGAGTTCAACATGTGAGAAGTAGAAAGTACAGGTATTTGTGTTCAACATGTAAGAAGTAGAAAGTACAGGTATTTGTGTTCAACATGTAAGAAGTAGAAAGTACAGGTATTTGAGTTCAACATGTAAGAAGTAGAAAGTACAGGTATTTGAGTTCAACATGTAAGAAGTAGAAAGTACAGGTATTTGGGTTCAACATGTAAGAAGTAGAAAGTACAGGTATTTGAGTTCAACATGTGAGAAGTAGAAAGTACAGGTATTTGAGTTCAACATGTGAGAAGTAGAAAGTACAGGTATTTGTGTTCAACATGTGAGAAGTAGAAAGTACAGGTATTTGAGTTCAACATGTAAGAAGTAGAAAGTACAGGTATTTGAGTTCTAAATGTAAGAAGTCAAAGTAAAAAGTGGTCACAAAAATAAGTAGTGGAGTAAAGTGTACTTAAGTACAGTAACAAAGTACTTGTACTCCAATACTTTCCATGTTTACCTGCGGGGGCCGTGGTCCGCCGGCAGCGCTACCTGAGAGTAGGTCTGGTCCGGGGGTGGGGCGGCGTCGGGCAGCGGGCAGCTGGAGATCATCTTCAGGTTCTT